CAAAAATATTCATTTCTTAGTTTTCAACTAAATAGTTCAAAAAACATTTATTTTTTAGTTTACAACTTGTAATCCCAGTGCCTTGCGCAGTGTTTGGTATATCGTAGGCCCTTAATAAATACTCGGTGGTTGACTGGCTCATGTAGGCTCCAGTTCACGGCTGTCACTACTAAATAATTCTTGTCCCCATGGTTTCCTTATGCTTTATCACAATCCCTCAAGGAACCCTAAATTTCAGCTTTGTAAATATCATCAAATAATTAAGATCAAATGGCTCTTTGACTGTGATCACTTTGGATGCAAACATTACGCATTACGAAAATTAAATACCCTCTGAAAATGAGTAATAGAACTTGATCCCAAATCAAAGCAGAAGACAATGTTATTAATAGGAGGACAGTCAAGGTAACTCAGGGCTAACCATAGGAAGAGAAGAGAGGCAGGTAGGAAGGAAGCAGCAGTCTCTCTTCAGCAGTTGTTCAGTCATGTTGGATTCTCTGTGATCCCATTTGGGATTTTCTTGGCAGATATCCTGGAGTGCTTTGCCATTTCCTTCTTCAGCTCATTTTATAGATGAGGAAACTAAGGCACACAGAGTTAAGTGACTTGTCCAGGGTCACACAGCTAGTAAGTGTCTGAGGCTGGATTTGAACTCAGGAAGATGAATCATCCTGACTTCAGGACTAGCACTCCATCCACTGCACCCCTGGCTGCCCACTGTTCATCAGGCCACTAGTCAAATTTGTAGACAAGAATGCAATGTAAAGTTAAATCATTTAGTTTTCTGTCATAGGAACCTTCAGATCTGCTACATTCTTTTTTTTTTTTTTTGGTAAGGCAATCAGGGTTAAGTGACTTGTCTAGGGTCGCACAGCTAGTAAGTGTCAAGTGTCTGAGGCCAAATTTGAACTCAGGTGCTCCTGACTCCAGGGCCAGTGCTGTATCCACTGTGCCACCTGGCTGTCCCTAGAGTTCCTAATTCTTTAGGCCCACAAAATCTTCCTCCTAAATTGCCACAGTTGCAAAAATATTATAACATTATGAGCCTAAAGAAACATGCTGCTAGGGTTACTGGTAAATTAGCATCAGTGAGTGTTTTGATATTTCAATTCTACTCATCCTAACAGGAATTTTTATATCCAATAATTAATTGTTTTCTATGGTAGCGCTTAACCAATTTATTAGAGGTAGCCGTGTGCTGTTGTTCAGTTATGTCCAATTCTTTGTGAACCTGTGGGCTATATCATGCCAATACTGTCCATGAGGTTTTCATGGCAGATACTGGAGTGGTTTACCATTTCCTTCTCCAGCTCATTTTTTTTTTAACAAATGAGAAACTGAGGAAAACAAGGTTAAGTGACTTGCCCAAGGTCACACAGCTAGTAAATATCTGAGACCAAATTTGAACTCAGGAAGATGAGTCTTCCTGACTCTAGGCCCACCTAGCTACCTCAGATGTAGTCATGTTTGTATCCAATATCAGCAAGTTAAAGAACACTGCTAATACTTAGAGATGCTGTTAGAGACTAGTATTCAAAGCTTATTATTTTATTCTTTGTTTATTTGGCTAGCTTCCCATTTTCTCCAAAAGTTAAGTGGGCATACAGTATCATTCAATGACATTGCTGTGTGACTGTAGTCTCATATATGGGTTTAGCTCAGCCAGGAATTTCCAGGTTCATTTGAAACTCTGCACCCAGCAAATGAAAGGTGCCAGCTCATTAGTCATAGATGTATGTTAACACTGATTCTTGATTCCGGAGGCCTGATGAAGCATGTTACCCACTGACAGAGTGTTGATAGACTTAATATACAAAATGAGATATACGTTTTCAAACATGGCCAACATAACAATCTGTTTTGCTTGACTCTGCATCTTTTCACATGGGTTTTTCTTTTTCTTTTTCTCAATAAGGGTGGAAGAGGTAGGGAGAGAAAATAAATGTTTATAAATGAAAAAAAATGTAAAACAAAACCAATGAGTCAATTTCTTTCTTTGCTACTCTTTCAATTTCTTCCATATGTGGATTATTAAGGGTTGTGGTTTCCAACCCAAAAGGGCAAGATGTGGTATAAGGAAATTAGAGACCTAATACAAGATGAGAATCAATTGTTCGGTATCTGAAAAACAGTCAGATTTCTTTTGCAAACTTTGCCTGATGTACTAGGAGTCTTGTCAGAGGAGCAATAGATTAATTTAGGATTCCTGCCAGATGCTGATGGCCCTCAATACTCTGCCCCATGAATTATATTTATTGGGGATTGGCAACGATTTTTTTAATAAGAGATTTGTCTGCATGACTGAAAACTTGTAAACTGCATGAGGACAGTGACAGAGTCTAATCTATCTTTGGATTCCTCTCTACGAAGCACTGAGGACAGAGGTCTACATATCATAAATGCTTAATACATAGTGTTTGAACTGAATGGAATTTAAGAGGATGCAAATCTTTTTGCACCCTCGCTGCATCTTTGAATGTCTCCCTTTACTCATACCACACTCTAAGTGGGGTAGAGTAGGGATAGGAAAGGAAAGGATCTATGATTTTGTTGGTATAGAGAAAGTCCCTCTACCATTGCAGGTTGGCAACTTCTTTGTAACCTATAATATTAGTTGCCTGGTGCACTGGAATATTAAGTGACTTGCCCAGGGTCCTAAACCCAATGTGTCAGAGGTGGGAATTCTGTCTCTCTATCACACACACACACACACACACACACACACACACAGAGCTGGGAAAAACAAGGAGGATCAGATGATGGGGCCTAAATATCACCAGGAGCTGGAATGGAAAGCTAATAGCTTTCCATTAGAAGTTACTTATCCTTCTCTTGTTGATACAGGCTATCAGGAAAAGGAATTAAAACTGTGATATGGATGAAAGTCCAGTAGGGTAGTCTCCATTGACACTTTCAGCTGTTATCAGTCATTTGCACTTTAGTGGGAACAAATATAACGTTTTGTTTTTGTTGGTTTTTTTTTTTTTTTTGGAGATCAAGCTTTGTTAGGAGAAAGCATAAAGACTGATACTTGAATTGGGAAGACTCTCAATCCATTAAGGAGGAAGAAAAGGGAAGTTTTGCCTCCTTCACAACTCTGCTCACCATGGATGACAATCTTTCATAAAAGCACTCTAGTCTCTTAGGTTCATGCCATTTTCTGGGCTGAACTGGGTCTTTTCCAGGGGGATCACTTATATCAACACTGGGAATAGGGATATTAGCCCAAGTCAATGAGATCCTGTTACTTTTCCCCTGGACTCTAGCGGTTGGTCTCCTTACTTCAAATTTTCTACTTTTCAGTTCACAGCTGCGAGAGTGGTCTCCTTAGGACTCACGTCTGACCATGTCACTCCCCTGCTCAAGAATCTTCACAGGCTCCTTACTGCTTAAAGGATAAAATAAAAATTCTTTAAAATGGAATTTAAAGTATATCACAATCTAGCTCCACTCTATCTTTTCAGACACATTTCACACTTTCCTTCATGAACTCTACATTCTTATCCAACACCTATCTGCTGCTTTCTAACCACACTATTCCAACTCTTGTTTCCATGTCTTTGCACAGACAATCTCAACATGGGTGGAATTTATTTCTCTCCCCCCCCACACCCCCATCTAGAGTCTACTCCCTCCTCCCTTCTGCTTTTTAGAATACTTAGCTTCCTTGAATTCTGAGTTCAGCGGACACCTAAGGCAAACCTTTTATCTCCTATTGTTAGTACTCTCTCCCTCCTCAAAGCCTCTCTTAAAAACATATTGATGCCATTTGTTTTTCTATCATATTCATTTCCAAACATAGCCTTCTCTCTCCTATCCAGAGAATAATCCCTTGTAACAAAGATTTTTAAAGTCAGAGAAAAAAAATTGGCAAAACTGGGGAATGACTGTTGGTCTTACACACTTGTGTTAGATCCCTAAATACCTTGAATATCAGAACATTATCAGAGATATTTGATGCAAAGATTTTCCCCAAGCAAAAGGTTTCTCACCTACATTTATTTAGTCTGTGCGATTTCATATAATCTCCGTTATCTATTTTCTCTCTTGTGATCTTCTTTATTTCCTTTGGTTAAGAATTCTTCCCCCTGGCCATTAGTTGTGAAATGTACCTAATCATATTCTTTTAATTTTAAGCTTACTGTGGTATATGGTGTAAGTTGCTGGTCTAAACCTAATTGCTGCCAAATTGCTTTCCAGTTTTCTCTGTAGTTCTTGTTAAAAAAAAAAAGCAACTCCTTAAATTATGTTGCACTTCCTTAGATAAGCACAAATTTTGTGTACTTCCTTAGAACAATGAGTAGAGAAGAGATAGATAGAGTCAATATCATAGAGGTAGAATTGATAACTTGGCAACTGACTGGCTATAGGTAAGAGTAAAGGCATTCTTTCAGGGGTATGATTTTTTATCACCACTGCCACAACCCTAGGCTCAATGAGCAGCAACCCACCTGAAGATCTGGGCTGCTATTTTAAGCAGGGATGGCGGCAGTCCTTCCAAGGTCTGTCCTGAAGCCTACCAAACAGACCTAAGAGACTTAAAACACCCAAACCGTGGCTAAAAAGAAACTATGCACATTGAGCAAAACCTAACCCAAACACAAGGAGTTGCCAGCACAATGTGGGGCACATAATAAGTGTTCAACATATAACTGCCAAATTTAACTTAACAGAACTGGTTGGTCTGTAATATTAATAAATAGCTGTAATGCAAGACTCCATAGTCTTTTTAACTTACTGCTTTTTGTCTCGCAGGTGCTTAATTTTTGTTGTTGTTATTGAATTACTTTTAATTGGTCCCTACTCTTCAAAACCATATTAGAACTACGAATTGCCCAAGAAAACCTATTCCCACATATGCAGCTCTCAAAGTAGGCTATATCCTTTGCTTGCTAATGCATGAGATGTCACTATGATTTTGTCTTGATTTCAAATGTAAGGGAAAGAGTCTCAAAGCTTAGACACAGTGTGTCATGTTAATGAAGGCAAGGGGACATGACTATCTCATGTATATCAATCTTTATTAGCATTTAAAATATATTAAAATATCAATAGAGTAAAAGCAGGGGTTTCATTTATCCATAGAAAGATTTGGTAAAATCACAGAAATGGAAATTTACATTAACCAATAATATATTAAAATTCTATCTAAATCAAAGACCCCAAGGAAACATAACAAATGCATATGCTTTAGAGATGATGTTTTTCCTCAAGTAACTGGTGTTGTTGACACTTCTATCCAAATAGATACGATATTAGAAAACCGTAATAGCTAGTTGCAAGTAGAGGGGGTGATAGTAGAACTTTATTATTTTTTCCCCTGATTTCTATGTCATTCCCCTTCTGCAAACATGGTGGAATTAATAATGTGAGCGCATTTGCCATTTCCTTGTGCATGGGCCCATCCGAAAAGAAGTGCCAATTATGGAGGATCTCATAGGATTCTGGTTTCAGGTATAATTACTTCTAGGTAAACATTAGCTTACAAAACATTTGAAAGTGGGAGACAATTCTTTTCAAGTCTCCTCCTTCTGATCATTCTTTTACGATGACATATCTCTAGCTTTAAAAAATACAATAGGCTCATCGTCCATTATAACACAGCTTTTGATTGCACAGATTACATACACAACAGGACAAGCCAGTCCCCTGAATGTGATCAGTTATACAGAGCAGAAGCCTGACATAACACAGCTCATCTATAAAGGCAGATTGTCAGCCAAAAGCAGTGTAATAAACAAATCTCAATGCTATACCATTTAAAATACTAGGGGACTGGATGATTGTCAGAGCTAGGCAGATGAGTGCTTCATTTTAAACTGCATAGGCCTGATTTTTGTGCTATCACATCATCACATCCCCCTTTAAAGGTCCCAAGAAGTCTTTAGTGAACAACCAAGAAATGGTCACTTAGAAAAAAGAGAGAATTAATGAATCATGAAAACATGTGCTTTTTTTTTTAAAAGCATTCACACTTTCCTGAGTAAAGTACACAAAAATCTCACAAGACATCTTTTTAAAGCACCAGGTCTTTGTCTCTTCCCTCCGTGTATCTCTTGCAGACTCATTACAGTCCAGATGGCAAATCTGAGCCAAGCTTGGATGTTCTGGTGAAAACATTAACAGTGTATTTATGAACACTGTTTTTCTAATATTTCACCACTTGAGGGTTTTTTTTTATGCCTGGGAGATGGGAAATGGCTTCTTTAATGGAATATAGGGAAAGAATAAAAATGAATGTATGTGTGGACATCTTTGGTCTGTCTGACGTGACAAGACTTTGCCAAAGAATAACAATGCTGAGGGACGTTTGAACGTGCCTAAAACTTTTTCAATTCTGGCACGTCGTCACCAAAATCTTTTCAATGTATAAAACTCAGAACATTTTTCAGTATGGACATGACCAGGTAAAACATGAAAAATCAAATTAATGTATTCCAGATTTTATTGCTTGAATAATCTAAGTTCAAGGTGTCCAGGAGAGGATGGTGCATCTATTCCCTGATGACTTTGCTGGAGGCAGAATCTGTTTCTCCGAGGTCCTGGGCATTCCTGAACATCAGGATGGAATTATAAATCTTCAACGCTGGGCCAAGTTTAATACGCATCACTTTGACTATATCTGTCTGGGTCAGAAGCAGGAAGGCTTTGCCATCAATCTGCTGCAAATAAAAAAAAAAAGGGCCTTGTCTTCATTCTTCTCCACACAGTACTTCTGATTCTCCTAGACTTTCTCTACAATGGCTTTGAGCCAGATAAGGTCAGGTGTCTCCTTATCCCTCTTCCTGTCCTACCCTCTTCCCACCTCAGCTTCTTTTAATGTGCTATCTTCCCCTTTAAAGAACATAAGCTCCTTGAGGGCATGGACTGTCTTTCTTTTTCCCCCCTCTTTCTATCCCCAGTGTTTAGCACAGTCCTGGCACATAGCAGACACTTAATAATAAATCACTTGCTTGTTGACTTAACCTTGTCACCAGTTTCTCACTTCAAACCCATCTGTCTACAACAAAAAGAGGCATTATCACATAGCAGAGAGAAAAATGGCTTTGGAGCCAGGAAAACAGGGCATATACAATGTGTGACCAAAGTCATTTAACTTCTCAATGACCTAGGCAACTAACACTATAAATTGTGGATAAATTGTGGCTATATGCATCAGTAAAGGGAGTTTCCATAGTAGGAGTTTCCTACCCTCATGAAATCACAGGGCTGGGCCTGGCTCAATACCATCACCACCACCCACACCACCACTACCACCAATAACTTCCGTATGGTCAAATATGTAGAGACTCAAACTCACCCTCACACAGGCCACTTAACCAGCCATGCCCTGATTTAGGAGATACAAGGCCAAGAAGGATTATGGTTTCTCTGAGCTAGTCCGTCAGAACTAATCTTTCCAATTAGTTTTTTTTTTTAATCATTTGAACATACACTTAAAAGTCGATTATTCCAATGCTGTTAAGTCACAACAGAGGGTGTACACTAATAATCCAGCCCATGAGGTAGGGGTGGGGATTACTATGGCTGCTCAAGCAGCTGGCATCTTGGGAAGGAGACAAGGTGCCTTTGCAAAGGCATAGCTATATACGACAGAGAAAAAGCTATACAAGACAACAACAAAAATTGTGACTATAATGACCAAGCTGGGCCCCGAAGACAAGAGATAGGGAGGCTACTGAAATACTTTTGCTGACATTTCTTACCTCTTTCTTGAAGTATCTGGAATGATCTTCACAGCCTGGAAGGCTTTGCACAAAATTTGCCACCTATAACACAAAACGAAAAACTTAATTTGAAACATGTGCATAGCAGGGGCTTAAAAGCTTAAATTCTATCTGTTCAAATTGATTGAATAAACTGAAATAATTTCTTAGGTCATAAGTGAATCACAGTATGGCTCAGCAAAGTACCTGGAACATGGTAAGTGCTTGAATGCGCTCTCTCTTTCTATGACTCTATTTCTCTCTCATAACCAATTTTATATCTGTGTACACATGCATATTTATATATTTCAAACTGTCAAAGACAAATTCTGGGACATCTCCTGATCACTCAATTCAACTCATTAACCACTTATTAAGTGCTAGTAATAGACAAGGTGCTACATTAGGCATTGAAAGTATAAAGATGAAAATAAAACAATTCCTGTCCTCGAGGTGAATGCTTGTGGGGGTAGGGAAGCAGTAACGACTAGGAGAATTAGGGAAGAAGGCACTGAAGAAGTGACACCCAAGCTCAGCATTTCAGGAACACAAGGAGAGGTGAATTCTAGGCAAAGAGGACAGTTTGTGCAAATGCAGAGCACCAAGCCTGGGACCTGGCTAATAGTCTGGGGTGTGCTGGTGCCAGCGTAGACTACTTTGATAGAGCTGATAGTTAAATTATAAACATGAAAATTTACACCTTGGAAATCAACCAATACTGAAAATCAGAGCTTGGCTTACTGTTTATCTAGACACAAGAAAGTATTGAAGAAAATGTTAATAATACAAATTACATTTTAAAGTGTGTAATGGGTACTCCCCTCCTCTTCCACAGCCTTGGTAGTAGTCCAGTAAGGCTAGAACACAGAAGAGTACAAAATAAGGTAGGAAAAGTAAGTAAGGAAAAGTAAGACTGGGGAAGGCCTTCAAGGACAGGCTCTTTGTATTTCTGTCTTATAGGCAATGAGAAGACATGGAAGGTTTTCTGAGTATTTGATTGGACCTATGCCTTAGGAAAAGTATTCTGACAGCTGTTTGGAGGATGTATTGGAGAAAGGAAAGATCAGAAGCAGGGGGACCAATTAGAAGTGAGAGGTCATGGGGCTTTAAGCCAGAATGTTGGCCATAGCAGCGAAGAGATGGAAACGGATGTGATAGTTATCATGGAGGGATGACGAACAAAACTCGGCAGCTGACTGACTATAAAGGAGAGGGAAGAGTTTAAGTGACTTGAGTCACTTAAGTGACCCCAGGTCACACAGGGTGGCAAGCCTCAGAGGCTCGTCTTAGCTCTCTAATTCCAGGGCCCAGTGTACTTTCTGGTCACTTTAGAGGAAGTAGTTTCAGTTGAGTGGTAGAGTGCAAAAGCAATGAGAAGTGAATGGGTGGAGAGGAAATGAAGGTAGAGGGTGTAAAGATAATTAATTCTTTCTAAGAGTTTGGCAGTGACAAGGAGGGAGATACAGGACAGTGGCTTGTAGGGTCAATTGAAGTTTGCTATGGGCATCTATGAAGGACACTGGACTTGATATTCAGACCTATTCAAGCAGCTACACACAGTTAATGGTTTTCTATATCTAGGTTAAAGTTCTACTAAAGATCTCTCTGTAGATTCAGGAAAAGAACATGTTTCCCAAGTGTCAGATCAAACAAAAGTGGAAAGTACAGATGTCCAGGAGCTTGTCCCTTGTACCACACAGGACCCTGACCCAGTGCAATTATTTTGTCTGATGCACAAAGAAAGTAGACTTTATTTAAAATGTCAGGAGAATATTTTCATAGTGAAATGAATAACTACCTCCTTACCCCCAGAAAGAGTTCCTGGGTGATTAAATAGTCAATTTTTAATCAGGCTAGAGGGCAATCAATACATTGATGGTCAGTGGTTTCTCAAGGCAACCAAAGACACAAAGGGAGACTCTGAATCACCTTAAATCCCTTCTGAAAGAGAACTCTTCTGACAAATGAAACTCAACCCTGATTGGCAGACATTTAATGAGAAGGTGGGCTAAAAGTCTTCAGCTCCTCCTAGTGAGAACATGGCTTGATCATGATACCCAGCCCAGTTCAGCAATCTGGACAGGTGAATCCATCTCCAATCAGACCACTCTGGCTGGTTTTCTATTTCATGAGCTGAGTAACCCTAAACTCTAATGGAGGGGTACAAGAAGGGGCTCTTTTCCCCAGGGTAAGAACTTGTCCAGATTGGATTCTGTTTACACTCTAAACAGAAGTTAGGTGTCCCAGTTGGGTGGCATACCCCCCAAGATTGAAGAGCATGTTCCTTGAGGGCTAAAGGTAATCTCAATCAGTCATGTCCTACAGAGACTGACTTTTTACAGGAGCTGGGCCTTAATGAGGAAATTGAGGAAAAAGTCCTGGATCCCAACTTAATAACTGGTTATTGATATAATAGTAAAATAATAATTTCTCTCAATAGGTTTGAGATTTGAAATTCCCAAAATCAACAGATTTTGGGAAATGGAGGCCCTGGCAGACTACAAGAGTTGTCAATGTCTCATCTGGTGGTCTGCTCAGTTCAGGTTATAGTTTTCCTGAGTCTGATTCCTGAGACCTAGATGTGAAACCTAGTCATGAAGAAAGATGAGCCTTTGGAGAAAAATAAATGTCAGTGTTCAGCAGGTTTTTTTCTCCTGGAAAAATTAAAAGGCAACAAAACTCTAGTATTTTCCTGTCCTCATCAAATGCCTGAGAAATCTCTAGAAAGGGCTGCTAGCTTCTCTGTGGCAGTGCCCTGCACGCGCAGGTGCTTAGTTCAGTTACTGAACTGAACCAAAACAACACATGGTAACTACTCACATGTGTGTGTGTGTGTGTGTGTGTGTGTATGTGTGTGTGTGTGTGTATGTGTGTGTGTGTGTATGTGTGTGTGTGTATGTGTGTGTGTGTATGTGTGTGTGTGTATGTGTGTGTGTGTGTATGTGTGTGTGTATGTGTGTGTGTGTGTATGTGTGTGTGTGTATGTGTATGTGTGTGTGTGTATGTGTGTGTGTGTATGTGTGTGTGTATGTGTGTGTGTGTATGTGTGTGTGTGTGTATGTGTGTGTGTATGTGTGTGTGTGTATGTGTGTGTGTATGTGTGTGTGTGTGTGTGTATGTGTGTGTGTGTGTGTATGTGTGTGTGTGTGTGTATGTGTGTGTGTGTGTATGTGTGTGTGTGTGTGTGTGTGTATGTGTGTGTGTGTATGTGTTTTAAGTCAAAGTTTGTCAGAGATAATTTATTCATATACACAGATTTCTGCTTGGAAAGAAATTCAGAATTCCTTAGGTTTTGGATTTACTTAAACAGAACAGTAATGTTCACGTCAGTGCACTTTTGGTGGGATATCTTCTAGCAACCTCTTCACCCTTGAGATCCTCCTCCATCTCTATGACCTGTTGGCTGGTTCCTCTCAGGGCATGCATTTTAAGGAGGAGGCTTAGGCTAAGTGTCTTTTATTCCTCTCCAAGCTGCACTCTTGATTCTTTACAGCAGAGGACTTTGTCTACAACGCCCCTTCCATCCCTCAAGCCAGGCACCTTCTTCCTGACTCCCTTTTATGTTTCTTGAGGCTGGGGCTTTCTGCTTGCATTCCTACTCCTCTCGCTTATTTAGCACAGGTCCTGGCACACACTAAGGGCTGACAAATGCTGGTTGACCTGACTTAAAATCACTCACTCCTTCTTTAACGGCTCCCATTTAAATCCGGTGGAAGGTCACGGTAAACAGGACAAATGCTCTCTAATAATCTTAGTTTCAGGAATCATGATCTTTCCCTGAAATTGATTGCCTTCTATTCAAAGATTCAAGTGACCCCGCAGGACTTCAGACTAAGACACCATCGTCATTTTCTCAATGGCTACAACACAACCAGTGCTTTGGTACTGTACACTTCTACATTCTCCCATTGTCATTCTGGGCACAAAATAATCTCATGCATGAGCCACGCTTCTAGGACAGCATTTTGTACTCTCTCTTCTCATTCTCTAGGCTGCACGTAATCAGCGGCAAGATACATGACTCGAGTTGGTTCATTATAAATTTGGAGCTCCCTGCTTTTTGCTTCAATACAGCAGATGCAGCAAAACAATGAAATAAAGAGAACTATTCCAGATGCTCAGGGTGTGTATCATGTGGCATTTAGGGTGGAAGCATTGCCTAGCATGATCCACTTTCATTTTTATCCAATCCAATTCAAGGCTATTCAATTCAACAAACATTTGTTTATTAGGCATCTACTCCATTCAGGGTGAGAGGCAGTGGCAGTAAGGGCAGACATTGGGGGAAACTCTGGGTTCCTCTACAGTTCACTAGCTAAGTGACTATGGACAAGTCACTAACCCAGGCAGCTCTCAATCTATATATTGTAGATATCAGTAGAGGGAATTAGGTGGCCCAGTGGAGAAAGCACTGGGCCTGGAGTCAAGAAGACCAGAGTTCAAATCTGACTTCAGACACGTACTGCGCTGTGACCTTGGACAAGTCACTTAATTTTTGTTTGCCTCCGTTTTCCTAATTTGTAAAATGGGAATTACAATAGTACCTACCTCCCAAGGTTGTTGTGAGGCTCAAATGAAATGATACTTGTTAAGTACCTGGCACACAGTATGTGTTATATAAATATTAGCTTTTATCATTTTTTATTATTTCTATAACAGGAGCTCCCCAAAAGGATAAAAATCACAGGTCCAGACCATATCAGTATTCCACCCACCAAAAAACTAACCAACAAACCCACGGAAGGCATTGTCCAACAGTCCCTACCCTTGAGGAATTTATATTGTAGTGACTCATGGAGGGGACACGATCTGAACATCAGCTTGTTTCCAGGGCGACCTCACTGGAAGCTCTGGCTTTTTTCAGTGGATACAAAAATCATGTTGGTTCAACAACCACTCTTGTCCTCTTTGTAAAAAAAATTCACTGATGCATACATAAGCTACAAGCTACCAGATCTACCAATCAAAGTACCAGAAGGATAATTTATAGAGCCAGACAAAATAACAACAAGATTGATTTGGAAAAATAAAAAGATCTAGAATATCAAAAGAAATAATGAAAA